TACCATTTGACCAACACGCTTCAGCATCAAATCCTAACACCTAACATTATCCTAACTTAGTTTAGCTTAATTAAGCTAAGCAAAAATAACATCAAGTTGGTATAGTTCACTCTTAGTTCAGAGTGGGTTGGTTTGTTTTAACTTATTAGGTATAATTAGTAGGGTAATCCATCCAACCACAGAAGTGACTTTATATCAGCTTTTTTAGCAGTTAAAACGAAAAAAAAAAAAAAAAAAAATCAGTTTATATTTGTAAAAAGTTATTTTTTATTAATTACCCCAGAATAAGGCATTATGTGTTTTTTTTCTCACATTGAACATTGATAAAACTGATTTTGATTCTTTACACTCTAGAAATTAACGTCAAAATTTCAAAGATACCAAACAGCAAGAAACCATTATAACCTCCCCCCCCCACACACACACACACAAAAAATTCACATTGTTCTTAAAAAAATATGAAATGCAGCGCCGCAGTGTGGAAAAGCTTGTATTAGTAAAAACTGCTTTTGGAGCTTCACTAAAGCTTCAGGAAGAGTTTCCTGTCTGAGTTTCAAACGGTAGCTCAGAGTTTTCCGACATTTCTCTACCCAGCATCGGCGGCCATTTTCCCCAAAGTGTTTCTGCCGCAGGGTTTCCCGCTCTGCAATCCAGGGGCTCAACGTCACAGGGACCTCGCTCCGACTCGGCCAAACGTCCAATTCTTCATCGGGAAGAACTCTGTCGAAGAAACACGAAAATAGGTCAGAGAAAACCCTGGTTTCACTCCCGAGTTCTGGCTCAGAACCGGCCAAATTTGGCTCTGTGTGGGTCATTTGGACCTTTAATGTCTGAATGCTTCAGTGAGTCTTTTAGCCACATCTTTTTCTGACTCAAACAACCAATTAGCATGGCGGTATAGCATCCAATGACAGGAAGTGATTACTAATTAAAGATAACCTAAATTTTTTTTACTATAAAATACTCATATTGTAGGTGCTTGCGTCCTCATTTCAAAATAAAAGCATCATAATAACTAGATAAAGATCAAATTCTGGGCGGTTCTGACAAAGTTTGATCTGTTAGTGTAGATGAAACTATAAGTATTTATATTTAGTTCTGCTGGATCAGAACCAAAGTAGAAATGGACCAAGAGAAGAAGCAGAACCAGCTCCAATTTAATCGCTGGCTTCCAGTTTTTCAAACTTAATTTGGTTTCAGTCTTTTTCCTGGTTGTGATCCAGCAGCTCGGGTATGAATACTTATGGTTTCTCCCTCAGTCTACAGACGGAACCATTCAAACGATCAGAAATCAGACCTCCATCTTTTCTTCCTCCTTCCTTCTTCCATCAGTCGATTCTTTTTGTTTTTCCTCCTCTCCCTCATCCTTTTTCTCCTCTTCTTCCTTTTTCTTCTCTTCCTCCTCCTTTTTCTCCTCTTTTTTCTCCTTTTTCTTCTCCTCTTCTTCCTTTTTCTCCTCTTTTTTCTCTTTTTTCTCCTCTTCTTGCTCATCCTTTTTCTCCTTTTTCTTCTCCTCTTCCTTTTTCTCCTCTTTTTTCTCCTTTTTTTCCTCTTTTTTCTCCTCCTCTTCCTTTTTCTCCTCCTCCTCTCCCCTCAGCTGTGATGAAGATGTCCCGTCCTCTTCCTCTGTCTCCCTCGCACAGTTTCTCTTTGTCTCTTCTTCTTCATGGGTTTCCTTCAATTCTGGCGATGATGTGGTTTCCTTTTTGAACACCTCTCCCTCCTCTTCCTCCCCTCCAGGTCCCCCCTGTCCCTCCTCCGTGGCGTCCCTCTGACTCCCCGCATTCCAGGACTCCGTGTGTGTCTCCACTCCTTCCTGTCCCAGTCCTGCATCATCCCCGCTGCTGGACTTCCTGTGACGGCGGGACGGAGGACGCCGCCTGATGGAGCCCCGTGGTCTGCCCTGGAGACGGACCAATCACATAAGAGGTCAACAATGATGTAATTAGTGATATTACATAGGTAATGAGTAGTTTCTTGCTCACCTTGTTGATGCTAGGCAGGATGTTTCCCTCTGTGGCTGAGGGCGGAGCCTCAAAGGAGGTGGGGCTTTCTGTGGGGGCGGGGCTGGTGGGGGTTACCATGGAAACCGGGGGGACGGCGCCCGGGGAGGGTGGGGTGAAGCCAGCAGGAAGCGTCCTCAGTCCGGGGCTCTTCAGCGGCGCGGCGGTGGGCGAGCCCAGCACCAGGTTGGCCTGAGCACACAGAAAGTGATGTCACTGTGACATCATAGTGACATCACAGTGATGTCAGAGCGGCTGGACTCACCTGGAGCTTCTCGATCAGAGCCGAGTTCCTCTTGGCTTTGGGTGGAGACGAGACGCCTGATGGGGGCTGAAACAGACAGAACCGTTACCCCGAAATCAAACCAGTTCAAATAAAACATCAACTTCCTGTTTCCTGGTTCATCCGCAGTTCATATACAAACTTTAATAAAAAATAAAAAAAAACATCTTTTAACATGTTGAAAATGTCACCATGACAGTTTGGTACCACCTCCTCTGCCTTCTCCCAGTGCTAGCTAGCATAGCCTGTTGTGAATACTAAGGCTATTTAGCATAGCTACTTATGATGTCAGATAAACGGTCTCTACCATTACAACATTTAGCAGTGTGCACATGAGGTTGATTGACAGTGCTAGGAAAAATAATATTCTTTATAAAAGTTAAATATTAATAACTTAGTTTTTTGTTTTCAGGACAGAAAATTCTCATTTATTCTTTGTTTTGAGTGATTTTGCTGCTTTAGTTTTCTGTATTTCATGTTTTTATGTATTTGTCATACTTTTTGCACATATTTATATTTAATCTTTTAGTCTTTTATTGTCTTTCAGATGGGGTTAGGGTTGGGGTTAGACGGCGGGGCTGGTGGTCGTTACCACCCCGCTGGGTTTTTTTTCTTATAATTTATAATTATTTAAATGATGTTTTTTCTTATAATTCTAAAAGTTTCAGAATGAAATCTTAGGATTTTTCAGTCTTTGAAACGTTTTCATTCCTAATCTTTTAAAATGTGGATAAAGCTGCAGTAACCACTGTGAGACTGTGATTGGCTGATGGCGTCTCACCTGGTTCTGCTCTGGGTTCGGGTTTGGTAGCTGCAGGGTCTGAGGCGGCCGCCGCCTCACAGGCTTATCCTGGTGAATAGCAACATGACATTTAAACATTTATATTCTCCATATTTTCTGTTTATGTGCAGGTGACGCTCACCTGGTTCCCCGCGGTGCCGCTCGGGTCGGGAGTCTGATCTTTGAACCTTCCTGCCAGTTCGGCCACGGAGCGGCGGGGTGGAGCCTCATTCTGCAGATAAAACACGGCAGGTCAACCTCCTGTCCATCCATCCATCCATCCTTCCTTCCTTCCTTCCTTCCTTCCTTGCTTCCTTCCTTCCTTCCTTCCTTCCTTCCTTCCGTCCGTCCGTCCGTCCTTCTTTCCTTCCTTCTTTCCTTCCTTCCTTCCTTCCTTCCTTCCTTCCTTCACACTTTGAGATTTGCATGTAAAATTAGTTATAAATAAAAATTTATTTTTCCATTCATGGCCTCCAAACAGCATTGACCTCTGATCTCCTCAAATCCATAGACAATCCTACGCAATATGTAAAGAAACATCAACTTTTACAATGTTTTTTATTCACTATTCAATAATCATTCCATTCATTTAGCATAAATGCTGCATCATACCGTCTGACTTTAGCTAGCCATGAGTTCTGTGATGGAAAGTTTTATTACCAGATACATTTTTTCATCTCGATTCTCTCTTGGTTCTAAGAAAATATATAATATTTTATATGAATCACATCAGATTTTATTTTATTCCCACAGTTCTGATGTTTTGTTTCAGCAGTGTTGGTTCCTTTGGTCTTTTTCTGGTCAGGAACTTTTCCATTTCTTGCTTGCTTCTTTAGCCTGAGGAGCAGCTTGGTGAATTTGACTGGCAGTCAATCAGAAATAACATTTAAATAATTTATTTCAACTTATATTTTATATAAAAATTATTCAAAACATTAAACTAAATATATTGTGAAAATTTTCAGATTAAAAAGTTTTAAAAAGTTTTTAAATGTTTTTTTCTCATCTTCTCTGCAGCCTTATCAGGTCCCCACGGCGCCCCCTGGTGGCCCCCACACTTCTCTGAGCCACTGTAGCAAACTAATCTGCTGCATAGTCTTCATACTTAAATATTTTTGCTGTTCATGTTTTACCCCACGGTACATTGTAATCTTAAACTGCAGCGTGTTTAGATCAAAATGTCATTTTAGTTCAATTAGTCTAAAAACAACCAGACTGCAGGGCGAGAAAAGCTTAATCTGAAGATGATTCTGAATCATTCTGGAGAAAAACAGTAAAAGTCCAGAGGAAACGGTTCTGACTCCCGTTCTGACTCTGGTTCTGTCTCTGGGTCTGTGTCCATCTGGACCTGACCCCACAGTGGGTGGGTGTTGCTGTCTGGCCCAGCTGTTGCCGTGGCGACGGTCAGTGTCAGGCTCGGCTGAAGGCTCCACATAGCTGACATTCAGCAGATAATGAACTCAGCTTCACTCGTTGTTTCCTCAGAGGCAGGAAAGTGACGAAAGAGAGCGGCCGTTAGCCCACTTCCTGCTGCTACTGTTTGTTTGAAGGAGGTTCTGGTTGTCAGGGTCGGTGCTGGAGAGGAACGGACCGGTCTGGTCCAGTTCTGGACTTCTACTGCTCTATCATCTGATCTACAGCCGTTCATCAATAAACTGGAGGATTTTACTGTCTGAGCAACACAAATACACACTGCATCTGATTCAGAGACACGCAAAATTCAACAAATAACCAAAAAATCAAGAAATAAGTAAAAACCATAAAACACAAATAATTTATCAAAAGTTAAATAACCCTAAAACCACTACAAAGCCAGAAAACATTAAAGCTATTTATGCAACCAAAATATTAAATATAATCATAAAGCTGCTAATAACTAGAAGACTAATGGATCACTCATAGAAAATACAGTTAATAAATAACGAAAAGCTATTATGGCCATAAAATCAATAAACCTAGTGAATGTATATTTAAGATCAATAAATGAGACAACAAAATAAAGAAAACATTTAAACCGAGAAATACACTCACAAAACTATAAACAACCTTAAAACCAATAATAAACAGATTAGTTTATATTAGCTGACTATCGCCTACCTTAGCTTATCTTGCTTTAGCTTATATCACATTAGCTTTTTATAGATTAGCCTATTTTAGCTTATTTAGCTTGTTTTAGCTGAGAGTTATATTAACTGTTAGCTTTCCAAACTGCATTTCCTTTTGAATATTTTAGATAAGCACTTCAAATAAATTTGCTAATACTGGAAATATGTGTGTTTTCTGCGATCGATCAGTGATAAACTGCAGATTCTTCACCGAGTTTCGTGCTTTTTTTATGTTTTATTCTTTATGCCTCCGACTCGTTGCTGATCTCTGTCATCATCTTCAACCCTCTGCAGACATCATGAATGTTTTTATCTATAGATTTGAGATGAGTAAACAACTGCCATCTTTAATTGGTAATCTACTTCCTGTCAGCTCTAATAACTACCATGAGTGAACCGCTGACTGGCTGCTACTGAACTCTGAGGGATTTTAAAGCAAAACCGTACATCCAGTACAGACTGAGGATCATAAAAATGCAGAGAAGTTTATATTTCTGAGTTGGCATCTTAGTCTTAGTTTAGCTAAAGTAAGCTAAACTAAGATATGCTGTGCTAAAGTAGCTTATCTAAGATAAGGTAGCTAAATTTTAAGGCATATCTTACCTTAGTCTGCTTAATAAATAACTGGCATTGTTTATCTTAATTTAGCTTGCTTTATCCCACTTTAGCTTTACCAGTTTTATCCTAAATTAGTTCATCTTATCTTTGCTTATCTTAGTGTAACCTGCTTAAATGTACATTAGACTGTCTTAGCTTTTGGCTTGTTTCTGCTCTTCATGGCCTACTTAAGCCAATAATATCTTGGATTATCTTAGCTTGTTTTAGCTTTCCCAACTCTTGTAAAGGAAAATCTACCCTTAGTTGATTTACGTCATCTCAGTTTAGCATGAAGTTAGCTTAGTTTTTTATAAAACCAGTTAATTTGACACATATACACACATGATCGCTTTTTATATCTGTTTTGCTCTTTATGAAGACTTTGTTGTTGTGTTCAGCTAGCCAGCTGCTAGCTCATATTCACAGTGCTTTGTGAGAGCAAATTGTAAGTCAGTATAATTCACTGTTTCTTATCGACTGTTGGATCTTGTGTATGTTTTGCATGGATAACCTTCTGACTCTAAGCATCTGTATATACCGTAGATCTAGGTTTATAGTTGGTGTTGATTGATTTAGATGTAAAAGGCTGATAAACTAGTGTTGTGTTAACATGTAGCAGACATCTTAACAACGAAATAGTTTTAAACCAAATCTTTAGCCTCTTTTGCACCATCTTGTCTGAAGGAACTGGTTTATTTCCATTGCTTTGATTGGATCAATGGGAACTTCCAAAGAGACGTTTGACAAACAGAAAAACAGATTTCATCTCCAACGGGTGATTCCTAAACAGCTTTCAGTAGAAATCACGATTCATCATGTCTCAGATCCTGTTTTCAGGACCTGGCAGGTGGAGTTTTTCCTCTAGTTCTGAAAAACTTCTGATATTTTCAGAAGAGAAATTTCAGTCTGGATCCAGACTGGTGAACTGAACAGAACAGCAGAGAGTCAGGAGTTTAACAGTAGAGAGCATCTAAGGAAATTATGAAAAATGCAGCTTAAAAACATCTGATCAGAGGCCTTTTGGTTGTTCCTCATTTAGTTTTCAGATCTCCTTTCTTCTCTCTGTGTCTCAATATTCCCACTAACGTCTCCAGAGCAGAAGCATCAAACTTTAATAAAACAATAACCTGATGATCAGCCATCAGCCAACGTCAGAGAAACAATACAAGCCATTATCCTTTTTTATGAACAAACATTGGCAGGGGAAAAAATGCACTACAGTCAGTTTAAGGTCTGAACTTTGACTAGGGCATTGCAGCACCTCCATTCTGTTCTGCCTGAATCATTCTGCTGCTGTGTTTGAGATCCTGATGCTGTTCATGACCTAGACGGACTCACAGTGACTCCATGAAGGCATCATGGTCCAGTCCAGTCCAGGTTCACCACCTCCACCGCCTTCTTTGTAAGAAGGAACCTCCACCGCCGTGGAGGTTCCTTCTTACAAAGAAGGAACAGAAAAAGTGGGCGTGGTTTTCAGATTTAACTCTCGTGTTTATGAAACGTTGACTGCAGTAGCGTGTCGTCTGTTGTTGTTTGAGCATCATGTGGTTTAATTTTACATTGAAAGGTTGGAATTAAACCTTTTAAGATCTCCGACTTCTGTTCTCTCAAGAGGATACTGATAACAAAGCAGAAAGTCACCACTGAGCATGTGCATCAGCTAACATCTGGGCCATGTTCACATCTGAAACAGATGGTGGTGGAGGCAAAGAGAAGAGCTGATAAAAGTCCATGTTTGGTCTGAAAGGTTTGTGTTTCTGGTTGACATGTTGCAGGTTTGTGTTTGTCAATCAAATGGTTGATCAGTGCAGAGCAACTGAGGACTGAGGACGAAGCCCTGAGGTACTCCAGAACTGAGGAGCTGAAACTGCAGAGGAAAGCCACCAGACGCACGTTTGACCCGTTTTAAAGACGCATCAAGCAAATTCAGAAAATTATGAGAAGTTTTGTGATGTTTGCGCTCAGATTTCCGTCTGCGCTGCCTGACTGAAGGAGATAAAAGTCTCAAATAATCTGACGACACCTTAGAATCCACAACTGTAATGTCGACAAAACCTGATGCACACTTTGGTTTCCTGTTAGCGCCTGCTCGCTCTTCACCACCCAGTCTACCCTGCAGGTCCTGAAAACGAATAGAGTCGTTTTCAAGACTCTGTTCGTCTGATTCATGAGCCGCTGCTGGGATTTCTGGGCCTCTTCCACGAACGCCCAGCAAACACAGCAAACCCAGCAGCAACAGCAGCAACAGAAAGTTTGAGAGCTTTACCTCCATCCTGCTGGTCGTCTCTCAGCCGCCTCAATATGTCGAGTATGTGTGAAAGAGGGTGGGAGGGGCTGGGGTTAAATATAGAGCCGGAGTCACGTCTAGAGAGAGACCTCCGCTCTCTACTGGCAGAGAGAGAGAGAGAGAGAGAGAGAGGCAGATCATGTTCTGTCACATGGTGGCCATGTTTGTGTTGATAAACTCATTGATATCTGCTGCTGGAACCGAGCTGATCTCAGCTCAGAATGAGAACAGCTGACCAAGAAAATGGTCTTTTTCATGAATCTTCTCACTTTTAGATAATTTTTGTTGCAGAGAAACCAGAAAGGATTCAAAAAGGCAAAAAAGATTTCAAAAGCATAGTAGAGGAGGAGTGGTGCAGCGGATTACATTTGAATGAACACATTCACATGAAAACTCAGTTTTATATCACTAAAAATTATTATTTATGAAAATATAGATGTTGGAAAGCTCTGTATTTGTGTTTGTGTGTGTACAGGAAAATAGTTTTAGGATCCAGTCTGTGATAAAAAAAATGCACATATTCACACAGACTGGATTTGACACCAATTGACTTTGTCTTGTTTTTCAATAACTTTATATTCTAATTCAGACCTGGCGCCATGTTTAATTCCCAACAGGAAGTCATGGTTGTTTTTGAAACAATCTGATGGGCTAACAGGATGTAGCTTAGTGCTACACTGCACCCTACAGGTTTGTGTAAAACAATGCTTTGGGCAGACAACAGACCTTTGTGTTTGATGTTTTTTAAATCGATGCGGTGGAGAGATTTGTTTATGAAGCTGTGGCTGCATGTGGCCAAGCCTTCAGGTTACTGGTGGTGTCCCACAGGGAGCAGTTTTAGGCCCAGAAACCTTTTATTGCACATCATCGATATAGAAACTTAAAAAATGATAAAAATGTGTTTTATTTGCAGATGAAACAAATAAATTTTGTTTTTGATCAAACATGTGGGTTTGATCAGGTTTGGAGACTTTGAGGCCAGATATGGCCATCTGGTGCTAACATTCAGATGGCCATGTCTGTTTCATTTTAACGTCTATCTATGTGGCCGGTCATAAACTGGAGGCGACTAAAACAGACAGTGGTTGTTCAAGTTAAAAAGTTAACTCTGAGGAAAACTAAAGTTATGAAAACTGAAACAGGCCATCTGGGTTGGTTCATGGTTTAATGTAAATGATCAGGAAGTGATGTCATCAAAGGGGTAGAGGGGTCTGCACCTGCTCTTGTTTGCATGTCTGACTTTTGTTTTTAACTTTTACACTAAATTAATCAGTAGTTGTGTTTCAGTCGGCCTATCTCCTGACCTTTGACCTCCAGTGGCTCACTGGATGCTTTCTGTTTCAGACCGTCCTGTGTTGACCTGAGACGGTTTTTAGTTTTGAACCACCTGGTACTAAGAATCAGAAAACCTTCACAGATCCTATCTGCTGTGATGCTCAGCTTGGACTGATAAAGAGGAAGCTGCTGCTGATCTCCAGGAGGAAGTTGCTCCCTCTTCAGGTCTCGGTTCTCTCTTTTACTGTCATCATGGCCATCTGAACCCAGCTGGAGGTTCTGTTGGGTCTCAGAGTGGAACCCTGAGGAAAGAGCATGGTTCTGCTCGCTCCACACATGAACTACCTGGTCCAATCAGACGCAGCGGTTTGGCGGCGCAGCAGAAAGACAGGAAGTGGTTGGAGGGGCGGAGTTAGCAGACAGGAAGAGACGGTGATGATGAAAGAGGAAACCTTATAAGGTGAAAACTAGTCGCTCCCAGAAACAGGATGGAGATGTTGCTCAACAGCAGCAGCTGACTGACAAAATCCGACCAGAACCTTCAGAACCTTCATTGTACCAGGAACCGAAAACATCTACAGAAACAGGCTGCAGATGAATCACCATAGAAAAGCACATAGAAAGAGAGACTGAAGGTTGGATGAGTTGGTTTCTTCTGCCTGAAGTTATTTAGACTGAGAGAGGATGGATGGAGGAATGGAGGAGTCATTTCTGCTCACTACAAACGTCATACCGCACTGAGTCTGTACCTGTCACTGACTCAGTGCTGGATGGATGGATGGATGGATGGATGGCATGAAGTTTCTCAGGTGGCCACTAGTGGCGCTGTTTCAGGATCAGGAGAATCTTCAGTGGTTAAATATCAAATCGGCATTCTTTTCTCAATAAAATCTATTTTTCTTTTCATGGACATATTAAACTTTCACTTCTTCATTCTGTAACTCCAGAACCGGATCCATGTTCCCACCTCAGGCTCTAGAGCAAGGGTGGGCAATCCTGGTCCTGGAGGTCAGGTGTCCTGCAACTCAATGTCTCCCTGGTCCAACACACTTGAATCCAACAGCTGAATCACCTCCTCAGTGCAGTCAGGTTCTCCAGAGTCCTGCTAATGACCTCATTATTTGACTCAGGTGTGTTGAAGTAGAGACACATCTAAAAGTTGCAGACCGGCCCTCGAGGCCTGGAGTTGCTCACCCCTGATCTAGAACCTGCTGATTTCACTCCCAGTCCAGATACTGGTCTCTACTGGTTTCTGCATTGCTGTCTGTGGCTCAGTGCTGCCACCTGCTGACAGCTGAAGCTCAGCCCTGAGGAGGAGGGGGAGGAGTTCTTGATCACCTGCTCCCATCATAATGTGTTCGATTTGTTTAAACTGGGATTAACGGCTCAGAGACGCGTTTAGTGATTAAAAGTTTAATTTATATCCATCATCTGCAGCAGCTCCATGTTTTCCAACTGAAACCAGAAAAAGTGCAAGAAATTGAATATTTACAGAAATAAAAAAACACAGGTTGGGAATCTAAACAATCTGCAGAGAATAAATAATTTAATTCTTTAAAATATGTTTCTACAAAGAAATGAGGAAAAAAATGAGAAATATTTTGATTCTGTTTTATTATCTTAATTTTTTCCAAGAGCAGAAAAGGATTTTCACAGGTTGAGTTTTTATGGTGGAGCTACTGACTGAAGTTGAGCTCCTTGCTGGTGTTTGACTCCTCCTCCTCTTTCCTGGGTGATGAAGACAATGTTCCATCCTGACCTGGGAGTCTTCATCTCTGGCTCACAGTGTCCGGACTGTCCCTCCGTTTCCTGAAGATGGTGTAGAAAGCTTTCTTCCTGCGGCTAACGGACACCTCCTGACCATCTGCTCTGTCCTTCCTCAGGTTGGACGGCTGGACACCAGCTCCCTGTCCGATACCGGATGAGCTAGACGAGGCGGATGAGGACAGGAAGGCAGCACTGCCATCTGCGGCGATGCAGAGGGAATGGGTGGAGCAGGCAGAGGTGAGGGCAGAGGAGGGGCCTCTCAGCTCCACCAGGCTGGAGCTCTTCTCCAGGCCTCCACCTCCTCTGTGGGCAGAGCTTTGAGCCTGCAGGAGGTGGGGCCTGGAGTCCAGAAGATGTGGCCTGGAGTGATGCAGAGCGCGTGATTCGCTGAGAGACAGAGCAAGGGCGGAGTCAGAGTCTGAGCGGCTCATGATGTCCCTGAGAGGAAGAGGAGGAGATGATTAGAATGGACCAGAGCCTTCATCACACCCCAGGTTCTCTGAAAAATGAGGGGTCAATCAGAGACCCTAGTGACCATTTGGAAACCCTAGAGGTCAATCAGAGACCATAGTGGTCAACTGAAGACTCAATCAATCATGTTTATTTGGATAGCATATTTCAGCAACAAGCCAATTCAAAGTGCTCTGCATCACAAAAATAAAAAGTCACAAAAACAACTTAGTCAACTGAGAAATCAGTGACAAATATTACATTTTGACCAACGCTATCATCAAAATCATCAATACACGTTTAATATGTTGGTGAATGTCCCATTTATTATGATTCAAAAGCAACTCTTGTGGTCATTCTGAGACCCTAGGGGTCAATGGGAGACCTTGGGGGGTCAATCAAAGACCCTAGGGGTCCATGGTTGGCTCTTGCAGTTAGACACCCTAGCAGTCAATAGCAGACCCTAGAGATCAATCGGAGACCACAGGGATTAATGGGATTCTCCAGTGGTCAATGGGAGACCAGTCACTTGGAAACCCTTCAATGGGAGATTCTTATGGTCCTTCAGAGTACCCAGGGGTCAATTGGATACAGTAAGGATCAATGGAATTCCCCAACAATCAATGAGAGACGCAGGGGGTCATTTAGAGACCCTAGGGATCCAGGGAAGACTCTTGCATTTATTCTATTAAACCCTCTAATATCTCCCCAAATAAAGAGACATGAAGAGGGAGACAGAAGGAACAGAACAAGAAGTGCTTTTATTCTGAAGAACCAGAAGTGTTTTTACTGAACGGTGGAAAGGAGAGAAAGAGAAAGAAAGCTGTGTCTACCAACTGCTTTGGTCTAAAACATCAATCGCACTCTTTGACAGGAGAAGTCGTTCATCTTGGAACTAGTATCAACATAGTGCAGGAGATGTTACCATGACAACCAGTCATTGGTATGCACTGGTAACTCAGGGGGGACAACATTAATCATTCATTGAAGGATTTAAAATTTTGTTTATGTTTTTCACTTTTACTCTCATTAGATAAGATCAAGATGATTTATGAAACTTTACCAAACATGAGACTCAGGCAATAACTTTAAAATTAAAATGTAGTTTTTCTTCATTCTACAAATTTATTATTTTTATCATTGACAATAACTGAAGGTTCAAAATGTAAGAAATTTGTAAACTTAGTTTTGTGTTATTTGTAAAATTTATGTCAGATCAATCAAAGTTTAGCTATGAATGTTAAATCTGCAAAATATTTTTAAATTTCTTGGTTTGACTGGTTTCACATTTTTTGCCTTGTTTTCATTACATTAGTGATAAAACAGAAAAAGAAGAATACCCCAAGCTGCCTGAGCGACAGCGCTGCCTCTGGCTGGCCACAGCGCCCCTGGAGTCTGGAGGTCTGGCACAGTATCCAGAGGGATAAAGTGAGAAGATCGGGAGAATAGAGCAGAAAAGTGAGTGGAGCCTTCAGCACAGGAAGAAGACAAAGAGTTTGGCTGAGGAGGACAGGAAGTGAGGTCGATGGAAGGGTGGGACAGGGAGGAGGAGAGAGACGGGGCAAGCACAGGAAGGAACTCTATCTGGCCAATGGAGAAGCTGCGATTCTGCCGAGGGCGTCCACTTGGGGGGCGGGACTCTGTGGACGAGCCACGACCATCCTGAGATAAGCCACGCCCCTCAACTAACCTCTGAGAGCCAAACGTCAACCCGGGGTCTCCCGCCCTCTGCCGCAGGGGCATCAGACTCTGAGCTACAGGAGACAGGAAGAGAGTTACACTGAGTCTGTGCTTTTATTTATTTGGTTAAGAACCAATCAGAGATGGCTGTCAACCTGACTGTTTCCATGGTAACTGCGTGTCTGTGATGCCACTCAGAGGCCAAAGGTCACTCACACGCCGGTCCATCTGCCAGGCTGCGTCTACAGGCAGCCAATCAGGAGAGAGAAGCAGAGTTCAGCTGACTTCCTGTTTAGCAGCAGGGGGCGCTGCTGCTCAGCCCGACTCAGACTGGGAGAAGAAGAATCCGTCAGACTTACACTGCAACGTCCCCGGAGACAGGATGTCCTCGTCCATGTCGTCCAGGTCGTCCGACAAGAGCAGGTTCTGGGGGGTCGAAGGTCGCAGGCCCAGGAAGGATGGGTCAAGGTTCAGGGCGGCGGCCAGGGCTCCCAGGCCCGGATTGTTGACTACACAGAACCCGGTCAGAGACTCAATCTGCTGCCAGCGGTGGAGCTTCTCCCGCAGAGTCGCCGTTACCTCAGCCAGGGCCTGTCTGTCCAAACCGCAACGACACAAGACAAAAGGTTAGCCAGACCAGAGCTACAGTACCAGCTGGTTGTGGGTCATGTGACTCACTTGGCTGAGAGGATCTTCTGGTCGACGTCGTCCAGTGAGGAGCTGTGAGCCACGTGGAACGTTCCAAACAGAGAACTCCTCTTCTTCTTGATCTTTTCTGCCTGGAACAGAAAGCAAGGTGTCTTCTGCAAACATGTTGGGTCGATGTCAGCACCGACCCGCAGTGGGTCAGCCGATCTTCAGGTTTCATTGGAAGTTAAACTGGACCATGACAGAAACCCAACCAGAAGGATAAACCCAAAGGTTTCTGCCTGTCATATTGGTCTGGTCTTTAGCAAACAGATTCTGAACATTACTTACACAGTTAACAACGAGCAGCAATAATCTAGGTTTCAACTCTTATAGCAGATAAAAAATGGAGGTTCATTAAAAGTCATATTTTCACCACAAATTCAAACTAAAAACTTTAATTCAGCAAAATAAGCATTTATCTCCAAACTAAATACTTATTTTGTTTGAAGCTAAATATCTTGTTCACCGACTATTTAGTTTGTAGACTAAATATATAGTTTCAAAGTAAATAAGCCTGTTAACTAAATATTTGGATTCATTAAAATATCTAGATCACTGGCTAAATACCTAGTTTACAAAATAAATATTTAACTTTTCCATGATAAATGTATTGCTATCAAGCTAAATAATTAGCTTGCGAATTAAATATTAGCAAGCAAGCTAATTAACACGACGGTAGTGTGTCAGCCTGTGGTGTGTTGGGGCCCTCACCCCCTCCCTGGCCTGCAGCAGCTGCCTCTCTGCGTTCTGCTTCTTGTTGTTGTAATGCTGATCTTCCACTTCGTGCGTCAGCTGTAGCCACTTCTGCAGCGCCTCCGGCGGCGCCCAGTGCGCCCGCGACTCCAGCTCCCGCTCCGCCTTCCTGAGTGCCGTCCGGACCTGCAGAGGAACAGGAGGCAGTGAGGGCCGGCTCCTCTGATTGGCCGGCGCCCGGTAGGGGGCGTTACCTGCTCCAGCTCCTGCTCGGCGTATTTCTGCCGGCTGCGCTCGTTCTCTGATCCCTCCCTCAGCTCACGCAGCCGCTGCGCTTCCTGCTTGGCCGAGTCGATCTCGCTCCGCAGCTCCTCCTCCACCTTCACCTTCTCCACCTGGACGTAGTGCTGCTGCTCCTGTGCCCGCCGCAGCCTGGCAGAAACGCAGCAGGTCAGAGGAGCAGTAACAAACACTCCCCCTGCTGGCAGGAGCACACACTGCAGCTTTACACACTTCCTGTTTCACTTCTCTGTCAGGCCATGTGGGGGCGCTCAGCACCAGCTGAGGAGCCAGAAGGTTTGGCTCTCTAAGCATACCCGTCAAGTCTCCTGTTTTTTTTTTCTGGGAAACTACAGTATTTTACCTCCTTCTCCCACCGTGCTCCCATATCAGTATTTCCCCCAGCCCCAATCTAACAGCAGCACCAGATGGCACCATTTCCCGTATTCTCAAGTCCAAAACTTGACAGGTATGTCTCTAAGCCACGCATTCAAAAGTAGAACTGGAGAAATTCCACTTTTGATTTGATGTTAGTTTTAATTTCTTTTCAAAACTGTGATGTCATTGTTACCATGGAGATTCTGGTCTAAACAGAATCTGGTAGTATGCTGATGTTTGATGCTTCACTTTCTATTGTTCAGCCCTGAGTGAAGTTCACTCACCTTCTGCAAATCCAACAAAATTGGTGTCAAACGTTTGTGAAGAAAAATATTTAGTTTGTCTAATGTTGGTTGACCACCAAAGGTCAGCCACCATTAGAGGTCAACCAGAGGCTGGTGGTTGATCTTTAATGGTGGTTGACCTCTAATCGTGGTTGACCTCTAAACCACCAGAGGTTGTTTAGAGAAAACAGAGAAGAAAACAAAGAACTGTTTTCCTTTAAAATAATGGGAGGACAAATTACATTAAATCAAACATTTGACACCAATTTTGTTAGATTTGAGTAAATGTGTGAGGACTGGTTGACCTTTTGACTTTTAATATCTTCAAAGCAAACCAATTGTGTCTGATTTGAAGAAGGTTTGGGGAAACATCACGCAGGTTTCTGAAGGATCATTTCTTGATTCAAGCCAAATTGATCAGATATTTATTTTTCTGTCCCGAACAGGAGGAAACCAGTCTGTGCTCTGCCTGCAGGGGGAGCTCTGGTGCCGTCTGCAGAGGAAGTGGATGTGTGTGACTATTTCTGGAGATGAAGGACAGAGATGAAGCAGCTGAATTATCCCAGAGAGGAAACGGGCTGAAGCTGGCTGTCAGCTGACTGGGAGCTGCAGCAGAACCGCTGGGCTCAGCGCTGCAGGCTTCACTTTACTGTTCAGGACAATCAGCATCTGTGCTGGGGCTGAAAATAACGGCGGTGCAGCTGGAGGCAGCAGCTGCTGCTGCTCAGACTGACGGCACTGGGCCTTTATTCAAACATTATGAGAAACGTTAAAACATTTCTAAACAAACGGGAATCAGTCATCCGAAAACGTTCAGGAGCAAAACCTTCCAGGATTTAGGAAAACTTTAGTTCACAAACCCAAACAGACCCAACTCCTCATGGTCCACCACCAGGGGGCAAACTTCCAATAATATACCAATACAGGAGCTAATATTTCATTTAGCATTTTTCTAACTTTGAAAACATTTAGCGCACTGAGCTTCCCCTAGATACATTTTTCAGAATATATCCTAAAGCATCATTTACTTTCATGTCCAGCTAAATAAAGTTTGACAGTTTAAAATACTGATGTCATAAACTTGGCTTTCTAGTTGATTTTAACTTGTTTCCCATTAGCTTAGCTAACTTTGGCTTTATTACTTAGCTTAGCTTGTGTCACTCAACTTGATATATTTAACTCATTCATGTTTTATCTTTAATCATCACAACTTATTTTATCTTTGTTTATTCTTTCTAGCTTATCTTATTGTACTTTTGTCCACTTTAACTTCTCTTTCTCCGTTTTGTTCCTGTTCATGTTTTCAGGTTAACCAGCTGCCATGTCATGATTTATACTGGTATCTGGGTCAACACAAACTTGTAAAGATTACCAGGAGACATATTTTGTTCCTTATTTTGAAAGGGAAACATGCTGATGTGTTCAGGTGCTACACTAGAAGTCAAGAGGAAAACTTTCAGAAGGATTTAATTTCCCAAACTGTTATCCATCTGTTGCTAGGCTGAACCTCAACGTCTACCGAACTGATCTTGAACATCTTCATCTGCGTCTCTTAACTCCTCTTCTTCCTCACACCTTTCACAACCGTTTCCTGCAGAAAAGAGGAACTGAGGGCTGCAACTCGCTGAAACCCAGAGGAAGCCAGCATGTTGCAACGCGCTTCAGTCTGCTGTACAGTAGCCTCTCCGACAGGTGTGTGTGTGTGTGTGTGTGAGCTGCAGGCTGACTTACTGGCTATTCTTTGCCCATATAAGGATTTCAAACAAAGCTCCAGCAGACGCTGTTCTCACACGTTATGGGACTATTATCCTGGCTGCAGTTTCGTCATCATCTAAATTACATTTAACCATGAAATAAATCAGATCTCATGGTTTCAGAAACGCAAACACAGACGGCCAGCGGACATATTTCAGTGGTAACAGTGGAAGGTCGCAGCGTTGTGATACACAGAGGTATTTTTAGCCGCAGCAGGGAGTATTTTCATCTAATTCTTTGTGTAGCTGTCAGCTAAAAATAACCTGGAGTCCTTGTCGGCTTCAGGAGCAGAAAGGCTCTGAACTGTAGCTAATGCACCAACACCAAAGCTAACATTTCAGTTAGCGTGTCAGGGTTTTTGCTAGCTTTTATGAATGGACAAAAATAACGTCTGGTTTACTTTTGTAAATAAACCTAGCTTACAAACCGTACATGAAGGAGTGTAGTAACAAGCTAGATCCTGTAGAGGGAGATGTGCTATCATGTAGCACATGGTGGATAGCAACAGGTTGAATTTAGTGCTTTAGCATTACCTTCCACCAACTACAGTGCAGATGTAGCGCTTTAACATTAGCAGAGCTGTTGTTTATGATTAGCGCTCTAGGATTAGCACAGCTAGCTTTTAACTAGCGGTTGCCACCTCTAGTTCCGACCTCATCTCTGTCTGACTTCAGGAGCAGAAAACCCTCACTCCTGGTTTCTATCACAACACTACTGGTTTTATCAGAACCATCATAATAGAGGGTTTAATTCTGCAGGAGTTCCTCGAGGCTTAATGTTTGGACTCCTTATGTTCATGATAAAAGTCACTTCTTTAGTTCATCAAATGAAACTACAGTCATCTGGTGGGAAGAATCACAGCTAGTCTCAGATGTAAACAAAGAGATAATAGTAATTCTCCCTCGCATCCAGAACAACTTAGAGGTTCTGGATCGGGTTGAGATTCCTGCGGTTCCTGCAGTTGGTATAGACTCACTTTGCTTGCAGGTCCAGCAGACTTTCCTCGGCCCTCTGCAGACCCTCCAGGTCCTTCGTCAGCTTCCCCAGGTCGTCTCTGGACTTCCTGGTCTGGATGTAGGCGAACCAGCAGCCGCCCAGAGCCATCAGCACCGACAGGCCCAGAACCAGGTCCTTCCACCGGTTCTGCCGGCCTGCTCTCACACACACACACATAGAAACAACGGTTTATAGGAGACAGGGGTCAGATTCTCCTGAAAGTGTTTTCAGATGAATAGCTGAGCTCTAATCCTGCTCAAACCAAGCTGCTCTTGGTTTGAGCACCAAGAGCAGCTAAAGAGTTTAGTTTGGAATAATCTGATGGATTTCAGAGATTATCTTGATTTTATCTCAGAAAGCTGAACGGAGTCAGACGAAGAACGTCAGTTCAGATCACTGGACAAATATTTCACTGCTTAGGATGGACGGATGATGGTTAATTTTTATCACATTAACTATTTCAAATTCATTTCAAAATAAAAGCACCACAGATGTGTGCTGTCACATTCAGAAGGGATTTTATTTTCAAATGTAGCAGAAAGTGGTAAATACGATCTAAATGCATCACTTCCTGGTTATTAGAGTAACAGGAGTTTAACAGAGTAAAACCAGAGCCGTCAGAACCGGACCTGCTGGCGGTCCAAACAGAACCACGTCCAAGGCCTTGAGCTGCAGCTTCTGGGCGTGGCTCCGGTCCAGAATCTTCAGCAATGACACGGTCAGAGTCACGTTCTTCACCGCCAGCCTGCGTGAGGACACAGTGAGGTCAGACTGGGTCTGGTTCTGACCCAACCAGTCACCAGGTGAGCGCTTACCTGGGCAGCGCCTTCCCGTCCAGCTGCTGCATGCGGAAGCCGGAGGCGTACTGAGGGAGTTCCACGCTGAGGGACAGCCACTCCTCCACCTGCAGCGCCGTCCAGTTATACACTGGACACAGAACACCAGGGGCCGGACCGGGCCGTTAGAACACACTGGACTGGTTCCAGACCTGGCTCAGCAGCCTCTAATCATACTGACTTCATTATTAACTCAACACAGAGAAGCAACAGGTTCTGACCTTCGGACTCCTTCCAGGCACTCCACATGTCCTCCAGGCTGATGTGCTGGTCGGCCCGGTGGAAGCTGTGGTGCTTAGCTTTCGGGTTGCGGTCCTGCATGTCCTCCCTGAGGAACTGAGCAGAACTTTTTTAGCCCGGGTCCAGAGTACTGGTCCAGAGGATGGGCCCGGTTCCGTCTCACCTCGTCCGTCTCCATGGCGTCCACAGTGCCGTCTGCGTCATCGTCCATCAGCTTGTGGATGCTGCGGATCGCCTCGAAGCTCAGGAAGGAGTTCTGATCATCGCAGAGAGGCGGGTCCACAACGCACAGACCTACAGAACCATCAGAAACAGACAGAATCATCAGAACCAAACAGAAGGTAAGATAAGGTAATTTTATTTATATAGCACATTTTCAGCAACAAGGCAATTCAAAGTGCTTTACAGAACCATCAGAACCAGACTACTGTGTGTATAGAAAGTCAAAAAGGACAAAATTCAACAAATGTCTTGTTAAATAATGTGCAGGAATATACTTTTAATCATTTTCATAACATAAATTCATTTAAATAATCACATTGCTGTAGCTCTTAATTTACGTTTTATTGCTAGAGACTTGGAGGGAATGTTCAGGGTCAGAACCAGAACCTCAGCGCCGGAACAGGATAATATATCTGTCCATCTTCACATCCTCCACTTCCTGAGAGGGCAGAGCCAGCATTGCACCCTGCACACAGTTGTTGCCACTTCACTTCCTGTGACATCATCAGCATGTCATCTCCAGGAAGCTGTGGTTAGCTGCCAGTGGCTAGCTCCCACGCTAACAACTGCTGCAGGCTCCACCAGCAGCAGGATGGAGGAGGGTTGATGCTGCGGGCTGCCGGACCTGGCCGAGTCAGAACCTCCAACATCCTGGACGATCCCGGTCGCCTTCAGCAAACATTAACTCGGCCTCAGGTTTCTATGCTGTTAGGTCTTCCTTGTTGAACAATAAAGACCAGAACCTGATGAACCAGAACCAGAATCTTTGGTATAAGCTGTGCGGCTAACAGATGGCTGGTTGTGCTGGATGTTAAACTAGATTAACAAACAGCAAGATGTTGAAAGTTGAAGAATCGTCTGAAGAAACTCATCAAACCGGACCCGGTTCTGTTAACCCAGCAGCTGCTCAATAACACAAGAACCCAGAATAATACCGCTTTGATGTCTTTCAGTCTGGTTTCCATGGTTATCACCATACTGAGACTGGCCTATTCAAAGTGTTCAATGACATCCACATAAACACAGATTGTGGGAGAACAACAGTTCTGGTTCTGCTGGACCTCAATGTTGATCCTATTACTGAACTGACTGGAGAGTTGGGTCGGACTCTCCGGTCCAGAACTCAACCTGTTCCAGTCCGACATAAAGAACTGAGATTTCTTTGTTTCAAAGAGATCAGAGGTTACAAGTGGTTTACGGCAAAGTTCAATCCTTGGATCCCCCTTATTCAATACCTTTATGCTCCCACTGGCTGAGGTTACAATAGGAAATACGACTAGCAATCAGCTCAACATTATGAAGTCACCAGGTGACCTTTGACCCCATCCAATCACTGAACAGATGCTTAGAACAGATAAATGTGAGGATGTGCCAAAATTCTCCATCTGAACAAACACAAAACTGAAGTTATCTTTGGACCTAAAGAGGAACGATCTAGACTTATAGATCTAGAGTTATACACACAGCTTCAGTTCTTCCAGCTGGAAACTAGTGATCAGGATGACCTCTGACCTGAATCTCCAAAGCCACATAAAGTCAGTTCCAAAATCAGCCTTCTATCACCTGAAGAACATTTAGAAAATACAGGGTTTCCCCCCAGTGTATTATAAGCCTGGCGGGCCACCAGGCCTTATCTTCATCTTTTGAAATCTGCGTGGCACTGATGAGCATTCACATTTACCACTGGGTGGCCAGTTGCACTGAAGTCTCTGAGCATCATTGTCCACTGTGGGTTGCTCTGTCCAGTTGACATTGTCTGTATAAATAAAAAGGTTTGGACTTCAAGGTTTGACCATGGAGTTATGGATTTGCAGTCGAGCCAAGTACTACTGTCTAGTCGCCAATTGAAAATGGTGGCTGAGATGTTGTTGGTCTAAAGTACCACTTGGGCCATCATCAGATGCCGAATGCTGCCAATCAAATGGGCGTAAGTTGATGATGGTTAGTATTGGATGGTGTTGGTTGATAATGATTGGTTCTGGTTGGTATTAAATGCTGTGGTGGTTGAAGATGGTTGGTTTTAACGTTTGTTGAAATTAATTTTTATTAGTTGGTTGTTATTGATGTCAATAACAACCAACTACCAACTATGGATGGTGGATGATGTGGACTTTATGGATTAATTTTAATTTAATTTGAATGATTGGCTGATGTTGATTGGCAGGTGGTTGGTTCTGGACTAGTAATACTGGTTGGTTCTGGTGGAGTTTATTTTGGGCTAATTAGGAATCTTGTGGCTGCTTTATGTTTGTAGTGATGATGATGATGATGATGATGTGATATGTCCAAATCTTTGTCTTGTCTGTTAACATGTCTCCTCTTACTCAGTCCAACATGGCATCATGATAGTTACGGATCAGATTCTGGGATGTTCTTACCTGAAGCTGCGTCGCCATTGGAAACCACCTGCAGGCGATGACCGTCCTGGTGGGTGTGGCCACTTCTGTCCAATCCGCTGTCATCCCCGACACACACACTCAGCATACACACACACACCAACCACACACACTCCATACCTGAGGAAAGAGAGGAAGCGCTGTTAGACGTTTCAGAATAAGAGCGTTTCATAAGAGCGGGTTGGACTGATGGACCGGGTCTGGACCTGGGCAGCAGGAGGTCCAACTGGGACAGAATGAGACAAACTGAAACAGAATCAGACAGACTCGGACAAACTGGGACAGATGAGACAGACTGGGACATGATGAGACAGACTGGGACAAACAGGACATAATGAGACAGACTGGGACATAATGGGATAAACTGGGACAGATGAGACAGACTGAGACAGACCAGGACTTGGACATGTCCTGGAGACAGGACGTGAAGTCAAAGCTTCTGGAAGGAACCTGAAGAACCGGAGCGTCAACAAACTGAAACCAAACTTCCTGGATGCTACTGAGGCGTTCAGGGACCAGAATCAGAGCCAGAACTTTAAAGCCCGACAGCAATAGAACCAGAACCGGTCATCTGCAGTCTCTGTCTCCTACTCACTAAAGTTTCTCTGGGGTCAGAGGTCACACAGCTGTTCACTTTCCCACCAAATTCATCATCATCATCATCACCTTCATCACAGTGAGGGTCGGTTCGGGTGCACCCACCTCTGCTGGGCCGCTCCTTTAATCCATGGGTCCGGTCGGCTCGGTTCCGGCAGCAGTTGATCGACCCGCAGCAGCGACTCAACAAGCTGCAGCTGGAGGAAAAAACCCGCAGAAGATCCGCCCGCGGTGCGTTCAGTGACCCGGGAAAAGCTCCGAACTGCGAGCGGGAACCGGAGACAGACACAGGAACCGGCTGTGGAGTTCCAGTTCCTGACTGAACCCAATTCAACAATGAACCGAAATTATCATCATCATCATTAAACCGTAAAGGTTCGGTAAAAAAAAATCCAAAATGCTGCAGTAAGGCTCTAATCAGAGTCCAAATCTTCTGAACATAAAAATGTGACGTTCATCCAGATTCTGCTCCAGTGAGTGAGAACTCTGCAGAACCTCCAGTCCAGTTTTATTGACTATAAAGTTCAGTAAATATTGACTTAATTAAAATGTATTTAAACTCCAGAAATGCTGCAGATATCGGAAGCTGCTCCTCGTGTTCTCTTTCTGTTACTCTAATTCCCACGGCACTGAAAGGCAGCATTTAACTCTCGGAAAACGGAATTATGGCGCCATCGTGTGGCCTTTCAGAGGCGGTGCAAGCTGAAGTAAGAAAACCATCAAGGCTTGGCTTTAAAATATCGAAAGGTTTTTCCGCTCCGTGAATCTTTAAATGAGTTATAATAAATTAAATATCAGAAAAACACTGAAGAAAGGAGAAACTATAACAGTTTCCTTTTGATTTCAGCTGCTTATAAACGGTTAGTTTAGCTAAGCTAAAGTTTAGCTTAACCGTTTAGGTTAGCTAAACTAACCGTATCAAAAGGAAGGCAGAAAACAACAAACTCAAATAAATAAAAAAATGTTAAAAGATCATTAAGAATATAAATATATAAATAATAAAAATATAAAAACAGTTAAAACTTTAACTTCACATAAACATTAAAAATACCAAGAAACGTAAACAAACGATTACCAAGAACAACAATATCAATTGATAAACATAAAGGTGTTTATGAAACGCAAAAACGGCGAATTAAACCAGATGAACCTCAACTTCTACAAAAACAAGATGCAATTTAAATTTAAAATGTAAAAAAGCTGCGGAGGGGAAAAAAAAAATTCACATTTAAAATGAAATTAATAAAAAAGTTAAAAATAACTGAAGTTTGACATAAAAAGCAAGAAAATGTTCAACTAGCAATTGCAAAATCAAAATTTAAAATAACATGAAACAGTTAAAAAAAACGTCAGATTGGTCCTATTTATGCAGAAAATATTAAAAACCATCAAAGTTTAATAAAAATAACAGAAAACTGATTTAAAACACAAAATAATAGAAAATAGACAGAATAGCAACAAAAAAATGGAAATACGGAAAAAAAAACCTTGAGAAATTAAAAGAAAAACAAAGAAACAAACAAGAGAAGCTTGGGAGGAATTTACAGCTTATTATCCATATAAATAAATAACACACCTGCGCTTTACCTGTCCGTCAGAGCCAGGGGGCGGGACTTACCGAGATCAGCCTGGCTCTGACGTTTCTCAACAGGCCAGTAACGCCACTGTCAAACACACACACACACACACACAAACTTCCTCAAACTCTAACTCCACCACTTCCCCTCGGACTTCCTCCTCCCCGTTACCCCCGCCCTCCGACTCACACACACACACACACACTAGAACACACACTGCAGCCGCAGCCGGACCGAGCACAGCAGAACCGGACCGGACTGATGAGCGGTGAGTTCTGCCGGAGCGCGCTCCACTCCGCCTCACTCTGTGTGTGTGTGTCTATGTGTGTCGCTGCTACGCTGAGCTGTTGGTGTGTGTCAGAGTGTGTGTCAGAGAGTGTGCGTGTGCGTGTGCGTGTATGTGTGTGTGTGTTCTGCTGTGATCCAAACTTCAACTGGATCTCTGGTTCTGGTTCTGTTCTCTTTCTCCCCAGTGGATCAATAGTCAGATTGTTTGTGTGATCGAGTTTCTGAGCAGGAAGCTGGAGATGGAGAGCGACCACTCCCTGAGTGTGTGTGTGTGTGTGTGTGTTTCTCACTTCTTCTTTTAACTTTTTCTCTGCTGAGCCCTGAAACACTCACTGATCTCTGAAACGGGTCAACAGAACCAGCAGATCTGGGCTTCACCGACCCAGTAGAGCAGAAACCAGAACATCTGAAGTCCAGGAAACAAAAGCTGAGAGGAACATCAGGAACTGCTGGAGAAGAGGAAGAGCTGCTGTTACTTTAAATAGACCAAAGTACCATCAGCTGCTGGAAACCAACTTCTCAAGAAGAAAACAATGCAAGAAAAACAGACTCTAAACCAGTAAGAACAAACCCTAAACCAGTAAGAACAGATTGAACCAGTATAAACGGACTATAAACCAGTATAAACAGTTTAGTTCTCCACTGGTTCTGGATTCTGGCCCGTTTCAGGTGATGGGTCGGTAAACCCACAGACTGGTTCTGAGCCAGGAATTCCCTGATGGTCTGGACCTGACTGGACCCATCCCAGTACACGGTCCAGTTGGTTGGACTAGTACCGCCCGGTTCTATAGGTCTGTACACAACAACTCGCTACAGGAGTCCAGAACCCATCTTGGTTCTGGTTCAGAAGTGTCTCCTGAAACGGGTTTTGGGATCTTAAAATGTCTCAGCAACCGGAACCTTAGATTGGATCTGGTTGAGGACTGGTTCCCATGAATTAAATTTGTTTCCCCAGATGGTCTGGACCTTTTGGACCTATTGGTCTGTTTAAAGCGGATCAAAACGTCAGGTTTGAATTCACCTAAATGTCCAACAGGACCTTGTCTTAAGGGGAACCGTTGGTCAACTGGGTCCAGCTTAAGGTTCTGGTTCCTGAGACACCGTAGCTCAACTTGATTAGCATAGAACATTTCAGCAGCCGGGTCCAATTCAAAGTGATTTACACAATAAAAGCATGAGACAGCTAATACCATCTTCAATATATTGATCAATGTTCCATCAACTAAATCGCCTCTCAGCAGGCGGCTGTTGGCCTGAAGGAACTCAGGGTTTCAGCTGCTTTCAGTTTCTGGAAGTTTGTTCCAGATCTGTGGTGCATAGAAACTGAATGCTACTTCTAAATGTATGGTTCTGGTTCTGGATGCAGATCAGAACCTGAGGTTCACGGTAAAATGAGCCCCTCCAGCATCACTAACGCTACTGCTAATGCTACAGTGACCTGTTGATGGAATGGAGTAGCCAGGAGACTCGGGTCCATTTGACACACGCATGATCAACCGCTAGAGAAAACTAAAGTACACCGATGTGTTCAAGGTGTCGCAAGAAGCTAAAGGACTTCCATGTCTGTTTTCTTCCTGGTCTGTGCTTTTTCCCGCAGATACTGTCACTGGCGTGGCTGTGGTTACAAATTATAGATTATTTACAAAACTCCAGGTAATAGCACACTGCACCAAATGACATAAATGAAGTCTGATTTTGGTCCAAGCAGACCGAACTACTGGTGGGACCCGTTATGATCACCTTGGAAACCAGGCTGCCAGCCATGTTTCTGGTCATAGCCAACATGGTCGCCACTGCAGAACCAGTAATAATCTCAGTCCGCACTAAGCAGATGCTCGGTTCACTCACCTCAGCGCGCTGGATGCATGAAGCTACCAGTGGGACTGATGGCCTGACCTACTTTCTGAATGTTTCCTGATCCGACCACTTGGGGGCGCTCACAGAGATTTTCCTAACCAGTCAGAACCAAAACATGGCAGAACTTTCACTCCACCAGATCTCCTTTGATTCTTCAGGTTTGAACCCAGCTAGCTAGTTAGCAGGCGTTTTCCAACATGGCGGATTAGCTTGGAAACGGCTAGCCATTCTGGTTCTGGTTCAGGCATGGTGGGTCCATGGCTGCTGGGTAGTGAGCTGTAGTTCTACGGGTTTGGACATTTTTCTTGTTGCAGCTGAACAGGAAGGACGACTCATCAGAACTTGCTGGTTCTGGCCGACCTGGGTCAGGTTCTGGACCCGGCAGAGGCATTTTTGACCGGTTCTGGAGACTCAGAAAGTCCAACTCTCATCAGCTGATGATCCTCTCTGAAAGTCCGGGTCGGTTCTAGGTTCAGTTTCATCCAATCTGAGGGATCCAATTAACTGGGTGAAGCTGGTTGCGGTCTGGTTCTGGTTCTGATTTGGGTTTGCTCTAATTCTTGAACCCGTTTCGCTCCTGGGTTTGGTTTGACTGCAGGTTCTGTTTGATTTGGACCAGTGTCATGTTGGAATTTGAGGCCCGATTGCTTCAGTCGATCAGAACCTGGTGGTTCTGATCCAGACGGGTCAAACCAGCTGGAAATGGGTTTTTCTTGTTGGTTTGAGTGCTTTGTTTCTGGTTCTGGTTTCATTCATGGCTGTTTAACGTCAGCTGATGACATCAACGTCTTCTGCACGTGCTCAGATGTGAATCAGTAGCAGCTAGCCTAATATTAGCATTCCAAGAATGAAGCAGGAAGTCCGTCGTCACAGCAGCCGTGACTCATTCCACTTTGAGTCGGGTCCGGTCCAGTTGTTTACCTTTCAGTTCAGTGTGCTTCCTGGTTCTGACCTGTTTCACTAGAACTTTATTTGCGTTCCATCTCTCAGAACTGTCCTGGTTCTGGTTGGTTCTGTTGCACCAGAAAGTCCAGTTTTGTTCGTTAGGTTCTTGTTCTGTTCTGGTTCCATTATCATGAACAGAGTAGTTCTGGAGGACCCAGTTGGACCCGTTGGGCTCAGTGGCGTGGGTAGATGGTCCAGTTTGGTTCTGACTTGCTGAGACCCGGCCCGTTCAGCTAGAACCCAGTTCTCACAATGAAATGTTCTGGAAACGACTTCCAGAACTTCCTGTCGGGTCGTCGGTTCTGGAGAAGAAATAAATCTGCAGCTGAAGCTGATTGGACGGAACCGGAACCAGTGGACCCGTCACTGGGTTCAGTCTCACTGGATCGGGCCTCATTTCTCTATCCAGTTCTGCTTTATGAACTATATTACCCATGATGCTTTGCAGTGTCCTGTTTTTGGAGCCATGGTCGCCTCTTCCTCTTTTCATCCGTCTGTCGGACCGACTCTTCCTTTGCGGTTCTGGTTTCAGATGGTTTGGATCTGATCTGAAAACGCCGCAGCAGCTGAGAGGAAATATCAGCTAGAGATTTTATTTTTCAACGAGCAAACAGAACCAGAACCAGAACCAGAACCTGAACCGATTATTTCTGTCACAAACCAGACTGACTGGAAACGACGTCTGCACTTCCTCTTCACCATAGGACCAGAACCAGAACCAGGCCTCAGCTTCCCAGTTAAACACGATCCATCATCCCCATGCTGTGAGGAAAACCAGTTTGGGTGGAGGTTCAACTCCTGAACGTTATGAGAAGATTTAGGTGGCCTAGTCAAAGTCCAGACCTAATTTATGGGAAGGCTTCAATACTGATCATCTCAGGCGGGTTGGTACAGATGCACTCCAGACTTTTCAGTTTTACAGGTTAAAATAAACCAGAAAATTAAACGTTTTCCTTCCACTAAACTATCTGATCTGTTCTATCGCATGGCGTCGCATTGCATCGGGCCAGACTGTTATGGAGACACGAACCCGGTTCATTTCTGTTTCTGAGCTTCTTCTCTTCATCCATGAAGGTCAACAGGAAGGTCACAGAGAAACTCCTGAAGCTGTGACCCAGACCTGATTTGGTCTGAAACGGGGCACCTTTGTTCTGTGACCTTTGACCTCTGAGGACGGCTTCATTCAGCCACTCTTGCATTCAGGTTTCGGTTCCACCTGAAACAGGAAGTCAGAACGTGTTCATCAGCCGTCGCTATTTCTAGAAAACTCTCATCAGCAGTTTCTGTTTGTTCAGACAGAAAGCTTCTCCGTCGGCCGCTTCACAAACACAGCCGGGAGGTTTGGTGGAAGGAAAACCTTAAACAGGTTAAAGGGCATAAAAACAGAGAGCTGAGTAAAACCAGACCTGACCTCTGACCTCCACTACATCAATTATGAAGCTGCTGAATATTTTTATAAAGTTCTTTTTAATTTGTTTTTAGGTCGTGAAGTACGTCGGATTTTTAAAAAGTTTTTTTTAGTTGAAATTTCCGTCATAGGAAACTTATTTATTGCCTGAAATGGAAATGTTTGTGCCGATAACATTTAGTTTTTTTTTCTTTTATTTAAATTCTGTTTTGAACGTCTGGACTGAAAACAAAATGGCTGCCAGGGCTGAAAAGGTTGCTGACCTCTGATCAGCTTCTGCTCAGCTCTCATGCAGTCAGATCAGAACTTCACCTGATGTCAGTCTAACGGTTGGTTCTGATTGGTTCTGATTGGTCCAAACACCTGGACTCAAACACCAAACAGGAAGTTCTGGACCCTGAAGCAGAACTCTGAGGTTTATGGACCCTGAAGGAGAAACGGGTCGGACAGAAACAATGGACCTGTCAGTCAGACCGGTTCCTGTCGTCCTGACGACACACCGCAGTGTGTGTGTGTGTGGCTATAAAATTGTAATATATACACCAGCTCTATGCAAATGTGTGTGTGGGGATCAGGATAACGTCTCTGCTTTGTTTAGAGACGTTTCCTCTGCAGATCATTTCCATAAACACAAATAACACCCCTTCCCTCCGGCCCCCAGGGGCAACATGGCCGCCACGTGTTTCTGAGCAAACTGTCCAACCGAGGAACCTGAAGCATCTCAGACCGAGGAACCTCCTGCATAGGAACAACCAGATTCCAGTGAGACGAACGTCTGAAGGTAAACATGGCCGATCAGAAAATCCAGTCACTCCAACGTCCTGATGGAGTCAACATGGAGAACCTGCAGTTCAACCAGCAGGACAGAAACAGAGACCACTACATTCTGAATCAGGCTCCCCAGCCAATCAGAGACCATTACACTCTGAATCAGGCTCCCCAGCCAATCAGAGACCATTATACTCTGAATCAGGCTCCCCAGCCAATTAGAGACCATTATACTCTGAATCAGGCTCCCCAGCCAATTAGAGACCACTACACACCGAATCAGGCTCCCCAGTCAATCGGAGCTCCTGCTCTGCTGTAGGGATACATTTCTTTAGCTTGGGATCATTTTACAAAGTCATATTTTCACCATGTTATTCATTCATTATAAATGTCACACATTCAAGCTAAATATTTAAATATTGGGCTTCACACAAAAATTTTGTTAGCAAACTAGATATTTAGCTTTGAGCTAAGTATTCAGTTAGCAAGCTAAACATTACAATTGAAGCTAAATATACAGCTCAAAGACATTGGGTAATATAATATAGGTAAAAAGCAGAAGTGGACAATTAAAATAAAATTAGATCTTGCAAACCTCTTTATAAACTTCTGCTAGCGAGTCACTTCTTTACCAACGTTTCATTTCCTCTTTTGTTGCGCAACATTTCAGCTTAAAACAAAAGGATGAGCTATTTTAATACAGCAACAGTAATTCATCAGCACTAAAGGATTCAGTTTATAGAAGTTCACAAAACACAGCTTCTATTTTCATCATCCAATTCAGCTTACTGGCAACTCAATTAGCATATTAGCTAAATATTTAGCTAGCTAAAGTTAAATAGTAAAACAGTTAAATGCTAAATAGTTTTATTTAGCACATTCTAAATGGATAAATATTTATAACTACTAAAATAGTTTAGTTTTTAGTTTAGTGAACTATTGAAACTACTGTATTTAGTTTACTAAATATTTAGCTGACTAGATGAATAGCTAGCTACCTAGTTATTTAAACAGTTTATTTTAAATAATTTTCTAAATATGTATCAGATACATATTAATTAAGAGTTTAGCTCTAAGCTAGCTAAATATTTAGTTAGCATGTTACATATTTTAGATAGTTAAACATTTATCAGGTGCATATTAGCAAAGCATTTAGCTAGCTCAAAGATAAATAACTAGCTTGGAACCAAAGTTTGGTTGGTTAACTTAATGTTTAGCTTGCTAACTAAACGCTTAGTTTGACATCTATAAATTGTGAAAATATGACTTAACAAATAAAACATTATTTTTCTCTTAAACAGGCTAAATAACTCGGATTATTGCTGTTAAGTTTAGGCTGTGTATCTTTACAAACAGCTTCCCGTCCTCCAACATTTCGATGCATTTAGAATCTGCAGGTCAGAAGCTTTAGCGGTCTGGAGTTTCTGCTGTAAAGGAACTACAGCAGACGCTAGCTAACACCCACAGGTGAGACGCTCCTGTAGGTAGAAGGAAGGGGAAACCAGATGTGAAGCAGAGAAAAGCCTCAGAGCCACTGGAGGTCGATTGACCTGCATACAATGATCTCAGCTCTATATAAAAAAAGAAGTGATAAAAATAACGGCGAGCAGCAGAGTGAAGCAGCAGAAGGTGATGTGTGAACCCTCTGAGTCCCTCCCTGCTGTGTGTGCAGGTTTCTGACGCTGCCATCATGCAGACTGTGAAGTGTGTCGTCGTTGGCGACGGCGCCGTGGGGAAGACCTGCCTGCTCATCTCCTACACCACCGGAGCGTTCCCCAAAGAGTACATCCCTACCGTGTTTGACAACTACAGCAGCCAGGTGGGTCCCTGAACGCACCGCGGTTCAGCAGGTGCGTTCAGGACGCATCAGAGAGTCAAGGCAGAGTGAGAGCCAGAGGTATCTGGAAAACATCTGGAAGCTATCATGAGTCATGGTGGCTGCAGGCTCTGGACCAGGCAGCTGATCAAACTTTCTCTGTCCTGCAGGAAAAACTACTGAGACTCTGAGTGAAGCTGTCAGATAAAAACAGTAAAATAATAAAAATTAATAATGATAAACACGAGAGTCTCTGTTTGGACAGCAGGTGGAGCTGTCTGCAATGATCTGACAGAATCCCTCACAGCAACAAGGTCCCCGTTTAGGCCTCTCAGCATGTTCTCCCTGTGGATGCAGCGATTCTCTCTGGATACTCCAGATCCTCCAAAAGTACAAAATGTCCATCCAGAAATTACTCACACCACTTCACTTTTTCACATTTATGTTTCAGCCTTATTCCTCATTAATTATAATAAAAACAATCATTTTCTTCAAAATTCTTCACTAAAAGCCCATTAGTGCTTTTAGTCTAAAAGTTTTAGATTGTGACTGAAAACAGAAAACCAAATAAAATCACATTCACGTCATGGAAAATCACCAATTACAGAAACATGTTTGGTATCAAATCATGCATATTTTCAACCAGAGAAATCACATTTTCTTGAGCTTGTGTGTTTTTTTTTCTAATGGTGCACATTTTTCAAAATGGCCACCATTGTTGCGAAGGAGAATATATGTTTGCACTAAAATCAGAAGAAGTTGTTGCGAGTGGTGGACACGGCTAACCAAAACGTTAGCTTCAAATTACCACTACTAAACAAGAATCCTAGCAGAAGCTAATGCTGACCAACAAAACTCATTAAAAAGTTAGCAGCTAACATTAAACCTCTAAATACATAAAATGTTATCAAAAGCTATTGTTAAACCGCTAAGTGCATATAAAAAAGTAGAGGAAGCTTATTCTAGATTGCTAACAACAAAATATACTGGAAGTTAATGCTAAACCGCTAAGCACATACAAAATTAGCAGAAGCTAAAACTAAGCTACTAAACACCTACAAAAGTAAATAAAGCTAATTCTAACTTGCTAATCACATAAAAATTAAGGAAAGCTAATGCTAAAAACAAAAATATAAGCAGAAGCTATAGCTAAACCACTAAACACATGTAAAAAAAAAATTGTGGAGGCTAATGCTAAACTGCTAAGCACATCAAACATTACCAGAAGCTAATGCTAACCATTAAGACTAACAGCAAACTCCTCAGTTTCTGATTCCGCTACATATTGTTACTTTAACGTTGAATGAACAGGATGAACAAAAACATGATGTGACATAAAATTCATCCAAATCATAACAATGAGGAACATTTTATAGCAATAATTGGCTTAAAAGACTCAAAAACTGCTCCCATCTTGAAAAATTCCCATGAAATTGAAGTGGCTGATGGGAAATATGAAGAACATTCGACCTGAGGAGTTAGCATGCTAATGTCAATCCTACACCATTTTAAAGAAAACTGAATAATTTAATAAAATTTGCAATAAAAGGTGTTACGAAAAATGTGTAAAAGCGCAGCGCAGTGAATATCACACAGCATGAGTGTGTGAACATGTAAATGGGTGAAGGTGTGAATGTAGTGTGAAGCGCTGCAAAGGCCGTTTACTCCATGACGGGCTTCAGTTCCCTCATCAGAACAGTTCACTGAAACATTTCTGCTGCTACCATGAAACTTTGACTCCTGTAAGGTTTGAACCAGCCAATCAGAGCTCTCCGACCGGTCCTGAGAGCCAATCACTGTGTCAGAGTTTGAGTGAGGTATTCATGAACCCCTGTCTCTACCTGTGGTGCGTTCAGGTGACCGTGGATGGACGGGTCATCAGTCTGAACCTGTGGGACACGGCGGGGCAGGAGGAGTACGACCGGCTGAGGACGCTGTCGTACCCGCAGACCAATGTCTTCGTCATCTGCTTCTCCATCTCAAGCCCCGCCTCCTACGAGAACGTCAAGCACAAGTGGCACCCAGAGGTCAGAGGTCACACATTCCCCCAACACAGTTACAGTGCATGATGTTGTTCAGGAGAATCCAGGAAGTTACTGGGTTGAGGTTCTGATGATGCTCACTCCATCCAGAACCGTCAGAAAAACTGTGGTTCTGGGTTGGATGGGTCCACTTTCAGGTCCAGTTATTGGGGTCCAGTAGGGTTCATACTGTCCTTCTGCTGCTTATTCTCTACACAGCCTGGAGTCTGAAGGTCTTTTCTTGGCTGACTTTAGCTGCTTTGAAGTCTAGATGACAAGTGGAGTGGACCTTTGAACCTTGCCAGCAAGGTTGAAAGGTCAGATCTGTTCCTTTGGACATGTAAAAGTATGAATGTTGAGTTGAAAAAGAGGAAATTCCAAAGAAAACACTTTAAAGACTTTCTTGAAACCTGGAAAACTGCTGATCAAGACCACTTTAGTCTGCTCAGACTGTCCAAACACCAAACGTCCATTCAGGTGTTGGGTCAGTCATTGTCCTTTTGGACTTTTTTATTCTGTATGTTGTGTCAAATACTTTGCCGTACCAAAGACGTCAAATGTCCGGCCTGCTTGTCTGACCTGATCAACCCTAAGACCTTTTCAGCCAGATTTGAATGTAAATCTTTCTGTAGAGGATCTTCAGCTGGAGGACCAAGGAGGACTGGCACCAGTGACCCCATCCAGGAGGCAGAGCTTCTCTAAGGGTCTTCAGGTCATATTTAGAACTCCTCTGTTGTTGTATAAGGACCTGGAAGGTCATTGAGGGTTCAAAGAATGGACAAAACTTCTGTTTTGAGATGATGGTGGAAATGTGTCTGGTTGGTCATTAAGGCGTCGTCATGGCTATGAGCCCCTCAGGGTGTGTGATGAGGATGCGTGACTTGCTAGGGTGGCTGTTCAACTCGGTCAGGACCTGGTGCAGTCTGAGGCAAAGACCTGGAGGTGCTTAGATCAGCGTCGTGATTCTCCTTAAACCAAATCCAGGACCCGATTTGAGGCGTTTCCCACCTGATAGTCCGGTAGACCCGGTTCTATTGGATTCAAAAGTTCATATGCTCCATCCCCAGCTGCTGTGGTTCTCTTTCTTTCTGCTCTGAGGTAAACCAACCAAACCCTTTGAGCAACCAGTTCCCCTCCTCGCCTGTGGGGGCGCTGCACCAAGAACCACTGAAGGAAATGACACAAAAACCTCTTTAGACACCAAGTGTTACTTCCTTCTTCACCAAATGGAAACAAAAATGGAGGCGTCAGCTTTTAGCGGTTGGAGGATTTCGCTTTAGTCTTTGGCTAAAAACCACGAGCCATTTCTCCTGCTAGCGCTAAGCTAACACGTTAGCTCTGGTTGTATTTACCCAGAATGCCCTGCACCGTAGTCCACTTCCTGCTTTAGGAGCCGTCTCCGGTCTGCTTAGCGTTCACATATGCATTCAAACTGAGACTGGAGTTGGATTAAAGCAGATTCGACTTGTTTAGTGAAAAGGCCCCGTTAGAGATGACAGTAGCTAAGAAATCTAATCTTTTTCACAGAATCTCTACTTTATCTTGACCTCCTGAGCCTGTACAAACCGTGACTCTGGTCTCCTCTGCAGGTTTTCCACCATTGTCCCAGCGTTCCCATCCTGCTGGTTGGCACAAAGAGCGACCTCCGGAACGACACGGAGATCCAGAAGAAGCTGAAGGAGCAGAACCAGGCGCCCATCACCCACCAGCAGGGCCTGAACCTGGCCAAGCAGATCCAGGCAGTCCGCTACTTGGAGTGCTCGGCGCTGAACCAGGACGGCATCAAGGAAGTGTTCGCCGAGGCGGTGAGGTCCTACCTGAACCCACAGCCCACCGTCAGCAAGAGGCACTGCTTCCTGCTCTGAGAGTCTGCTCTGAGAAATGTTTCAACCTTTTTCCTCTCATTTCATTAGATTTTTACCCTTTAATTAGAAAAAACGCAATTTAAGACAGAGATTAAAGGTTTTCCAGAACTTGTGATGCAAATTGACCGGCCGTGGGTTGAATGTGTAGCTCTGCTGTGATTGGTTCAGACTCAACCAGAGCCGTCTGAGCATGTGCAGGATGTCTGAGGTCTTCTACAAACTCAAATTTCAGCAAAATGGTCCAAAATCATCCCCTGACAATCAGCTTTAGGTTCAGATGGACCTGAAGACATCTTAGTTCTGCTGAGGCATCCATGAACCAGTAAAGCACCAGTAAAACCAGAGACTCTGGTGGAGTCCGGCTCCAGGAACAGGTTTGATGTCTAAACTGAGAATTTAACTGCAGAAACACTGTTTACATGATGGCTCTGATGAAAATGCAATAATCTAACCCTGTCTGCTCTGCGTCACTCACACTGAGACCCTTACAAACGCTGGGAAACATTTAGTTTGATCAGACTGTAAACATAAGATGCGTTTCTGCTTCAGCTGCCGATTCTGGAGGGAAATTAATAAATTGCAAAAATAAATCTGGACTAAAAACAGCAATTTAAACATAATACAAAAATAATAAACCTGATTTTTCTAGTGAACCACCTGAGAGCAGGAAAGCAGCAACTGCAACATTATAAACATGTGAAGCTAAAAGGTTAGCGAAGAAGCTAAATGCTAACTAGCATCTAAACTACAATCAGGATGACTAGTTGTAATTAAACAGAACCTGCTAACAAGTTCTGTTAAATATCCAAACTATTTAAATGAAAACATCTGATTTCAAACTGAATGTTTCTGCAGTTTTTTATTTTTTATTTTTAGCTAAGCTGCTAAACCAGCTAAACCACTCTAGCTTTGTTTGCTTCCATCTTCTGTTAAATTAACTGATAATTTGTTTTTATTGAAGTAATTTACATTATTTTATTTAAGTGGAAAGTACAATAAAAACAAGTTTCATATTGATCGTCTACTGCACTTTATTTCAATAATTTCTTCTTAGCGAACAGCTAACACGGTTAGCCCTTAGCTAGCCTCTTCTAGAAAAAAGATGGTGGCAGAACTGCGGTCAGTAAAGCTGAAGGATCAGACTTCTGGGACAGTGTCCCCCAGAGAGGACATGTTGGACCATGATAGAACTACGCAGCACCATCAGCTGTAAAGCACGGTGATGGTGGGGTGGTGATGTGGGTTCTGGGTCTGGTCGCTGCAGAGGAAGTGATTAAACACCAGATAGAAGATAATCAAGCCGTTTCCTGTCACATGGTGCAGCCTCATTGGGTTCTGGGCTGGTTCAGAAAACATCAGAACCAATCCAGCCTGTGAACTAAAAACCGGGCCGTCCTATCAGACCGGACTCTGGTTCCCTCTTTTATGATTATAAAAAGCTGCGGCTGCTTCCCAAAACTGTGATCTAAAGTTAGACATCGTTTTTTCAGCAGAAACAGCTGCTTTACGGTAACAAGAAACTTCATTATCATTCAGAAGCTACCAGAAACAGCAGCTGAGCTGACCCAGCAGCTGACCAGAATCAGCTGCTGGGGGAGCCAGCAGCTAATTGGCTGCTGGCTCCCCTCAGCAGCCAATCAGCCTCTGATTGGCTGGTGGATCAATAATTAACCTGTGGAGAAACAACTTCCCCAAACCATGAAAGGACTCCTTCATGATTTCATCAAATCACACAGGCCCCTTGTGATCAGTTCCTGGAGCTGGGGGTCAAAGGTCACCTCAAGCCATAGCATCCAATTAACAGGATGGTCTACTTGGAAACCAGTTCTGCATACGGCGCTGCCTGTGAAGTTTTATCGGGTGGGATGTGATTGGATGAGGGCCATGTGACATCACTCAGGTGAACCAAACCTGCTGTGTCTCAATTAAATGTCGTCAGGGAGGGACAGCTGTCCCTGTTTGATGCAGCAGCGTCCCCTGCTGACAGAAACAGTGAGGCAGCACAGCTTTGTTAAAACTTTATTTCAGTGAATCCTGAGAATCCAGGAAATATCTAAAATGTTTATTTATTGATGAAAAGTTTAGAGAATCTGAAAACTTCATCCATAGCTCTGTGCTGTGTCCAGACATGATAGTAGAAAATTAGGTGGAAGGAAAATCTTTGGTGCAACCTTCATGATCCAGGATATGAGATGATGTGGGTCACCATGACAACCACTGGTTCTGGTCCACTGGGTTCCATCAGGTTCAGCTGAAGCTCTTCGTGATGGAGAAGCTGGAGCCGGTACCGACCCACTCGGCCAGCGGCACCAGGACCAGCCTTCGTCACCATGGCAACCCAGTGCAGACAGCAAACCGGTCTGAAGTTTAGGTTTTTATTAAAAACAGTTCTGTTCCTGAATGAAAGTCCAATAGTTCAGAACCGAGGCGGAACTGGGATCAGAACCAGGAGGATCCGTGCCAGGAACCCAGTGGAACCAGTAGAACCCTGAAACAGAACATCCTGAAGGGCTTTAGTTCAGTGCTCCCACCATCTGGTCCAGCGGTTCTGTCTGAAGTTTTGGTTCCTTCCATGTGGGACTGACCGGTCGGCTCTTGCCTGTGGGTCGGAACCAGTCCTGTCCCCTTCAGTACCGCTTGTCCTCCGGCAGCGTGGCGACCATCACCTGAGCGCTCCCGAAGTCCCAGAAGGCCGTCATGTGGAACGCCATGTTGGAGAACACCACCAGGTACTCGAAGGCGGCGAACAGCGTGTAGACTGCAGGACGGAGACACAGTGAGCATGTGCAGACCGCAGCAGCAGCATTGCCGTGACAACAAGCCACTCACCTCCCGCCTCACAGTACTTGTTGTGGCGTCTGAAGAAGTACGCGGCGGCGGCGCAGCAGCTGATGTTGAACAGGAAGATGCGGGCTTTCCATAGGAAGGATGTTTTCTCCTGAACCAGAAATGGAAGAAACCGAGAGGTGAAGGAGGTTCTGACCTGTTCTCCCGCTTCAGAAACATTTATTACCAATTAAATGGTTAATTTCTGGACCAAACCAGAAATTCCTGCAGTCATTTAGAAACAGGAAGTGGCTGCAAGTTTTTGATCACACAGGAGCAAAGGCAGTGGTGGGAAAAGGTAGCTGTGCTAACGCTAAAGCAATAATCATAAATATTAGGTCTGCTAATGCTAAAGCTCTATACCAACCTGGTATTTAGCATAAGCTAATGCTAAAGAGCTCTACCAACATAGTATTTAGTGGAAGCCATTGCTAAAGCGCTATAGCAACAATTTAGTTAGCATAAGCTAGCGCTAAAGCGTTACACCAACACAGTATTTAGCCTTAGCTAAAGGTATTCAAATTATATCTGCCTTTGAGAGATTACAACCCTCAAATACCAATCTCATTTGAAGCTATAATTTTCTTTTGATTTACATTCTTAACCATTAGCTTCAGCTAAATATCATGTTGGTGGCCTTAACATTAGCTTCGGCCCAATAACTATAGCTAAGATGATTTATGGAGGAGCTGAATATTAAACTGGGATGTTAAATGTTGGTAGAACTTGGGTTGGGTCTGGTTACCTCAGGATTGACGTAGTGCCTCTTGATGACGAACCACAGCCTGCAGGTGATGAGCATGTGCAGGAGGGAGCAGCCAATGAACACGACGAAGGAGTATTTATGAATCTCTGGAGACAGAAGAGTCAGAGTCAGAGTCAGAGCGACACGCGGCGAGAGGCTCCGCCCCCTCCTTCTGACTCACTGTAGGATTCGGTGGAGGCCACATAGGTGAGCAGCAGCAGGCCCGTGTTCTCAGCCAGGCTGCTGACCAGCGCCAGGCCGCTCAGCAGCAACTCCGGCAGCCTGGCACTGAAGCGGCCGCGGTAGAAGTTGAAGTAGGCCACGGTCACCAGGTAGCGCGGCGCCGAGTGCAGACCCACGCAGCTGCGCCAGATGTAGATCTCCGGTTCGCGGCTGATGGCCGAGCTGATGGACGGCAGGTAGTTGGACACCTGGACAGACAGCAGGGGACAGGTCTCTAACTCCCTGTGGATGACCTTTGACCCCCTCAGCTGAACTGGTTTAGCCTGGACTCACTGGAGGGTTTCCAGCTGCAGCATCTGTCAGATATCAGTCCAAACTTGGACTAGGTCACTGAATAACCTTCAAATAGCAGATTGGTGTAGCGCTTTAGCATTAGCTTTTGCTAAACACCATGTTGGTGTCGTGCTTTAGTATTAGCTTCTGTTAAATAGCACATTCCTAACTACCCAGCTAGTGTTTGTTATTAGCTAGTTTATTTTATTAGCTGGTGTTTATTTGAAGCTAGCTAGCATTTAGCCTCAGTGAGTCAGAACGTAATGGAGATGTGATGAAGGTTCTGGTCCAGGAGTGGATCCTGGTTCTACTCTAGAAGGTTCTGGAACCAGTTAGGAGATCCAGCTGGATCACAGATGTAAAAGTTTCCAGTTGAAGGTCTGATCCGGTGATCTGGATCAGTACCGGCCCGGCTCACCTGGCAGTGTGTGTAGGTGGATTCCTCGTAGTGGTACATCAGCGAGGTGAGCAGGCAGGCCAGCAGACCCGATAGAGGGAGCAGAACCGTTGCCACGGCGAAGCTGGTGAACTGGACCCGGATCAGAGGCCGGTCCCGGTCCCGGTCCAGGTTGCTCAATAGGCCCTGGAGCATCCTGAATCAAACACAGAACCAGACATGAGGTCCAGAACCTGACCCAATCTCAGGAAGCAGAACCAGTTCAGATGTCCTGGATCGGACCAACCCATCCCCCAGAGGGTTCTTCTACACGGGTCCATTACACTGACTATAAGGAACGGGTCAGAACCAGCTCTACACCTAGCACAGAACCACTGGGTTTCTACCGCCAACATTAATCAGAACTCACTTCATGTCTCCTTCAGAACCTTCGGACCGCAGGGTTAGAGACAGCACAAACACACATTCAGAACCAGAACCAGGCAGGATTCAGAACCAGTTAGGGTCAGGACCAGAACCAGAGCCGATGTTCTGGAACTCCTCTGACCCGTTCAGGTTCTGATAATCAGTCAGCTCAGACTTCCTGGATGACCAGAAGCCCAGCTGTGATTGGCTGATTGTTCCGATGATGCAAACAGAACCTCATTGGCTGAGGTTCTGGTTCCGGAGCAGTGGAAAGTATTCACACCCTCTGTTGCATTTTTCAAACGTTTCAGATCATAAAACTAAAACAAAATAAATGTTTTAAATCAGATTTCATTAATTATGTTAAAAATGAATGTGAAGAAGCATTCAACCCCTGAACCTGCAAACTGACTGTGAATGACCTTTGACCGTCTCACTTACTGAACTGATTTGATTCAGACGCATTGTAGATTTTTTACATCAGAATTAAATCTGGACTTTGACTAGACCACTGGTGTTACAGCTCTTTTCAGACTGATAGATGCAACTGAATTATTTTTTTGTTTAGCCTGCTTCGTGTTGTGAGACAGGTTCTGTTCGTTAAACAACTTGACTTAATCACAGCTGGTTCATGGCTTAATGTTGGTTTGCATCAATTATTTTTGAGAAAACTAGTAAATTACTTGAAAATGTATTTTCTGGAGTGTAAATTAAAAATCTGTGTGGGTGTAAAAACTTTATCATATGTGAATAAACAGTTCAGATCTAAATATTTATTCTATGATTTTAGTTCATTATAATTTACCTGAAGGTATTTCTGAAATGTTTTAACTAAGAAACTCACCTGTTAAACCTTTCCTGACGTCATCTATTGATCGTTATGAAACTGGGCATTTTTATGATATTGGGTCAGAACCTTTCCGTTCTGAGCAACTTTTAACCCGCTAAGCGGGTCCAGATATTTAACCCGTCCAGATGAACAGAACTTTAACGAACATGTTTGTAACCTGTGGTTACGGCTGCTGCTGTCTGACTCCAGCGTTACCTGTCCAGGTGTGTACTGTGCTGACGTCAGCAGCCGATCATCAGTTCTCCGGTCCGCTTTCAACAGGTCTGACCTTCACAGGGATCCGATCCGGTCTGGTCCGGTCCGGTCCAGCCCGGTTGGGTCAGCTGCTCCGCCTCGTTCCCATTGATCCCCCGTTAGCCCAGGTTAGCTCCGCGGCTAAAATTAGCTCTGAACTTTGGTCCAGTTTGAGTTGCTCAGCGGCTCCTCGGTGGTTGAACTCTCAACTCTAAGGTCCTTCTGATCAACCCAGAGTCACAGAGACGGTTTAGGTTCTTCTATGGGTCAAAAGTTAATGGTTCTGACCCAAAGAAACCGCTCCGTTTTCTTTCGTAAGCTACGTGAACTGATTTCTGATTGTCTCGTTCTTCTTCTTTACCATATTGGCGGTTGGCAAATAACTGAAGGAAGCATTACCGCCACCAACTGGTAAAACGTGTGAACTACATGACAAACAAAAAAAATAAAAAATAAAGTAATTATAGGACGGAAGTTCCTCAGTTTCTACATGGGCACAGTCTGGTCCGGTCCGGTCCGGTTCTCATTCTGGAACCTTCTGGTTGTTAACTCTTAATATCTGGAGAAGTTTCCCAGTAGCACAACGGAGGAGTCGTGATCTAATGGGTGGAGATGCCACTGCGAGTGTACGTGGAAGTTTAGTATGTGTGACGTTAGCTTTACGTAGAGAACCAGCTGATCCTCAAAGGCGGCAGCGGGAAGCAAAAAGTTTTCCAGAACCCGTGGAGCTGAAGTTTCTGTAGGTAAGCTCACCTGAGTGGAGCAGATAAAGTTGGTTGCTGGTTTGAAACCCTGGAGGCTCATTGACCTGCTGCTGCTGTCATGTTAACGACCCTCTGCTGATAAATCATTAATCCTCTGATCCAGCGATGGTTGGATTTATTGCATGTTTACTACAGTTTTACTTCTTGAAGAGGTTTTAATATCTGTTATTATGACTCAATGAAACTTCATAGATTATATTTTGCTTCTTTGTTTTGCTTATTTTGTGGCTTTAGTCAGTTATTATCTATAACCGTCCCGATGTTTATCTGAAACTGGAGGCGTTTGGATCTACGCAGGGGCCATAAAGGTTGCATAAATGTTTCCAATTTTTGGTTTACAAATATTTTTTCAGTTTAGAAATTATGCTTCAGTTTCAAATCTTTATAAATTTTACATTACTTTTTATATTTTTCATTTTCAATTTTTTTCTTAATTTATTATTATTATTATTATTATTATTATTATTATTATTATTATTAATAATAATAATAATTCTTAGTTTAGCATACAAATATTTTTCAGTTTCAATTTATTTATTTTACTTTATTGTTCCAGTTTAGCTTCATGGAGACGGTCCAAGCTAACTGGTGGTTCTGTCACACAGAAGGGAAGTACTGGATCTGTCCAGCAGAGGGCGCACTGTCCCCCACTGTAATAAATAAGTTAGTTGTCTTTCCACACGGACAACGCTTTAGATTAAAACCGGAAGTAATGAAAAGTAAAAAATCTCAGAGTCACGTAGAAAAACATGTTTTAGTCTGAGGTACTGACTGAGGGTGTTTTGCAGGTCGGATCCAGACAGAAGAAAACCGACTTATGCTCAACAAGTTCTGCTCAGTATTGGGTTGGACCATGCAGACAGAAAAGAACAGGAGAGGATTTAAGGAGCATTTTATTGAACGGCAGCACTTGAAGCTCAAAGATCTAAAAAGAGAAGCTATAGATGCAGGTGTGAAAAACACATACCTGTGCAAAACAAACATCCCAGAATATCCCAAACCAGAGTTCCATGTGAGTCTTCTGAAACATGAAACTACAGGATCAGTCCTGAACAACAAACCCGACCACAAGGATCCCCAGTAGATCTGGGATCTGCTGCATAAGGTCACCCAGCTGCTCAATGAACTCAAGTAGACTTTAAAGCATAAAGCCTTCAGATCAGGTCAAAACCTCAGATCGTTTTCAGGGTTTAAAAGATGTTTTATCACCTGAAGAACATCCGACGTTGGTCGTTTTTCTTTCAGTAAATTTTATCCAGTCATTGATGCCAAAGCACAGATAAAACTGCAGGGATACAGCAACGTCGCTACCAGGTAGGTGCTGACTGCCTCCAACTGGGAAGTTCTGATCTCTAACATGAGACTCGGAAATTTCTGTCTGTCATCCTAATTTCATCTTTGACCATCATCATCCTGAATTAACTCAAGGACAAACACTAGGTCAGTACCTACATGAGTCCATGTTATAACATCCATAACTGTTAACGATCAGAAAATGTAGTAAATTACAGTCATTTTTACTTTACTGGACCTTCCCACAGCTTATGGACCTGAGTTTAAAGAATGTACTTCACTGTTGGCTGCCCTCTGTTCCAGACCAAAAACCCACAATAGTCACTGAAGTAACTTGAATCGGATAAGTCCTGGTACATGGAAAAAGGCTGTACTTGCAAAGTGCTTTATGAAGTCCAGAGAACCCAAAAGCACTTCTCTACCTTCAGGCCCAGTCCCAGTACTCGCCCTGCTTCAGGCCCAGTCTCTGCTTCAGGCCTGGTCTCAGTACTCGTTGAACTTCAGGGTTTGATTGCACAGGTTACAAGTGTGCAAAATTAGAAAACAGTACGCCCCTGTGTTGCAACTTCGACATCCAAACAGTGGCCACTGTTTTGGCATTTGTGCTGCTTAAATGTACAACAACAAAAAATTCTATTTTAAATGTAGAGTAAAGGTATTTCTGCTTTACAAAATCACTGCAGGAGAAATTGGGCTGTTCAAAATTGTTTGATATGACTTGTTGAATCATACAGATCAAAATTTGATCATATTCACACATGTTCAGTGAAACAAAAATTATTTCAAAACTTTATAATTGAAAACTGATTCTTATTGCGACAGACACAGCTTGCTCTGTGAACACTGCCATACTTCCAATGGCAACTTTTTATAGTCTGATGAAAAATACACCTTAAGATGTACCTGTAGTCAATTTAACAGTCTAAAAGACAATTCCTCCTCCAGCTGTGATTCAGCTAATTAAAGGATTGATTACACATTCAGCTGTTACTCAAAAGAATGCTCTCTGACTATTAATGGCTGTGAGTTTATAGACAAAACATTAATACATTCATAAGGAACATTGACGTCAAATTTCTTCCCCACTACCCTGACAAGAATACATGTTTAAAAATCCTGATGATCTATCAGAAGAAGATGAGAACCAAACTAAAAAAATGTATTGGAAATGAACCAATGAACATCAGATGTTTTTTAATTGTGGTTCAGCAGAATCATTTTAAAAACCTGCAGCTAAAAAGCTCTGAGTGATTGAGACAGTTATATGCTTCAGTTTTCTGAGTGTTTCTGAAAACCTTTGGAACTACAAACGTTGGAGAACATTTCTGAAATATGAAGGACAATCAGCTCACCTGCTGCAGATTTCCATTCAATAGTGGGTGTTGGAGTGACCTCTGACATTTGCTTACCTTTAAGCATGGTAGATAAGCATTTTATAGATAATAAAATGTACAGCTGCTGCTGTTGTGGTTCCAGCCTCTAAAGAGGACAGAGATATTCCTATCAGTAATAGTGATGATGATTGAAGGAGCTTTGACAGGCTTGGAGACTAACTGGGGGACTTGGAGGGGTACTGTTCTCCTGATTCCAGTGTCTCTTTTGAGAAAAGCTTTATGGTGAATTGTAATGGCATATGTGTGTTCATTGCTAATAAAAGTGGATTGTGTCTTCATTATAAGTGCATAACATTTTCTACCAAGAGGTGTTACCTAGCACAGAAAGAAATAATGACCTTACAGAACAGAAATGATCAGTTTGTAGTGTTAATTAAAGGTGTTTTATTAGTAAGATTAGAGGAGATGCAGGTTGGTCAACATTTAAATAAGTTGGTAATGTCTGACATATTTTCACAAAAGCAGGTGGTGCAGCTGGTAGGACTGCTCTCTGCATGTTCTCCCTGTACATGTGTGGGCTCCCTTTGGGGTCGCCAGCTTGCTCCCACACAGTAAAAACAAGACTCTTGTCTCTAGGTGCGTGTTTCCGAGGCTGAATGTCTCTGTGCTGTCCTGGAGTCCTGTTGAGGGCAGACTCCACCTCTCACCCAATGACCGCTGGAGACAGACACAAGCAGAACGGCTGAAACTGAAACCGAGGTCTGGCTGCAGAAGAAAGACTTTGCTGTGAGGATTAACAGCTGTGAGGATTGGCTGTGACAAAACAGAGTCACAGAGGACAGCCAAGTTAGTCAGCTGAGCCTGACACCTCCACTGATACTACACTTCCCATCATGCACTCTGTCATAACTTTCTGTACCGCATGAAATGCAGTAGCCTTTCCTTCCTTCCTGGTTTTGAGAAACGATTCTTAAGGTGGTCTGGAACAAGGACAGGACTGAGCGTGAGCAAGAAAGCAGCCAGTGTCTGGAGAGAGACTGAGAAACATTCAGAACATCTGGAGAACTGCTGATCAAGTTCAAAGGTCAGGAGAACCTCCCGCTCATAGAAAGAAGAATTTAAAGAAATGAAAGTTGGATCAGAACAGTTCAGTCTGGAGAACTGCTCCTCTCAGTTGTCTCCCTTGCAGAAAGGAATCATTCATGATTATGTAGCTTCAGTCACATGGTGTAGAGTCTGACAGTTTGTAAAGAGACGCCCTGGCAGTTTTACTGTCTGCTGCAGATAAGAGCTGTGCTGTGTGAGGCTGCCAGACAGAACAAATACATTCTGTCTGAAACATTTTAGATTAAAAGGACTCCTTCGATCTACATTTTGCAGGACTGAACCATGCAGAAACGAAAAAATAGGAGAGAATACACTGAACATTTTGTTAAATGGCGACACCTGAAGCTAACAGAACTGAAATTGGAAGCTGAAAGGTTTGGTTTGGAAAACAGATATCTCTGGACTGAAAACATCCCAGAATATCCCAAACCAGAGTTCCATGTGAGTCTTCTGAAACATGAAACTACAGGATCAGGGCTTTTTGGGATCAGGAGGGATGGGGGCTTCAGGAATCCATATGGAGGATCTTGGATATGGTGGAGTCTGGCTGTGGGACCGGACCAGATGAAGGACGCAGAGACGAGGCTCCTGGAGAAGACGTTCCCAGAACGGATAGAGGGCAAAGATCCTGAGCAGCAGAGCTTCCTGTGGAAGTTTGCCACATCTCCAGCCTTCAAGGAGACGTCCCGGCTGGGCTGGTACCGCTTCACCTTCCCTCTGCAGGAGGTGCTGACGGCCTACAGAGACCAGGTAACACCTCTCCACGGGTCAAAATAAAGATCAAATTTTACTGCAACTGCAGGTCTTAGTTTAAGAGGATAAAAAGAAAATATTATGTGGTGGTTTTCCAAAGAAAGAGGCTCCAGGATTTTCAAGAAAACATGACACTGCAAATCAATTTCACTCATATGGGAGATAAAGTCAGTCCCGGGTCAAGGCTTCATTGTTTGCTCAGCAGCATTTACAGGTGTCAACTACATGCACATTGCCAAACTTGATGATTCCAGATTGCAACAAGTCAACCACCATTAGCAGTGTTGCCTTGTTCCAACATGCCAGGAGTTTGCAAGCTCTCTCTGTGCATGTGTGATTTCTCTTCAGATACTCCAACTTCCTCACACAGTCCAAAAACAAAACTGATAACTAGTCTCTCTAAATTATCTTTGGGTATGAGTGTGTCCATGTGTCTCTGACGTCTCATGGTAGCTGTCCAGGTTGGATCCCTGCCTCTCCCTTAATGACAACGGAGATAGGTACCAGGGACCCTGTTAGGGCAAGTAGGTCTAGATGCCTCTGAGATCTCCCTGTTATTGAGCTAGGTGCACCACTAGGAGGTCACTTCCTGATGATTCTGAAGGTTAGAACATCCATCTATCCACCAGTGTTGTGTTCAAGACCACCTAACCCGAGACCAAGACAAGACCAAGACCAGAG